TTGACGGTGGAAATTCGGGTTTAAGCCCAACTATTAAGCTCGACGAGCTATATTTCCTAAGTCTACACCTAATGATAGTCAAAATAAAGTTTGGTTTGCCCAAAAATTCAGAAAAAAATTTTGGGAGGAAATAGAACCTGGAATTTGACCCTTATTTGAATTCACCCACCTGCCATTCGTGATACGTTGGAGCGCCTTCAATTTCTTATGATACTGTGCAATACCTCTGGTGTGAAATAGTTGCTATAGACGCCGTGGCACGCTGCGGCGCGGCGGGCGGGCAGAGAGCACGAAACGCGCATTGGCGCCTACAAACCTAACAGGGATACTTCACGCATTGCGCAATGCGTAAAGTATCCCTGTTAGGTTTGTAGGCGTCAATGCGCGCTTGCGCAATGCGTGAAGTATCCCTGTTAGGTTTGTAGGCGTCAATGCACGTTTGCGCAATGCGTGAAGTATCCCTGTTAGGTTTGTAGGCGCCAGTGCGTCGCCGCTCCGTTTGTGTTAGGCTCTAATATTTAATCTCGCGGAGTCAGCGTTTTTCAACTCATGGTTTTGAAATGTTTGCATACTCTGTATGGATTATTCTCATTTCAATTGATGAAAAAAAAATATGTTTAAAGGAAAATATAATGTGTGTTTTGTAAATATTGTAATCCCGTATCAAACTTAATGATTTCCAAACCACACGAATTTCTACACAATTTTCTATAGCCTTTTATAGCCAATGGCGATAAAGTGTAAAGCCCGGCGATAGGAACTATAGCGCGACTGTATACTTTTTTATAGCTTCGTATAGCCCGGTTATATGATTTGCTCCGCTTTCTACAGCCAGCTATATGATTTTCAATAGCCTTCTTTAGTCGGCTATAAGAACTCCTATGGTATTTTGAAACGCAGCTCCTATCGCCAATTTTTACCAGGGGTTTGATTCAGTCTTATCAGTGTATGCACAATAACCCGGAATACCTAGGTGGGATATTATAAATCATGTTTTCCACCATTATGGCCACAACCTCTGGAACTTTTCATGAGTGTTGAGCATGGACAAAACCAGTGGCTACCGTCGACCGTCGCGAATCTTGCGATATACACCGGTATATTTTCTGAAATTGCAAGGCAGAGTGTCGTAAGGTTGCTCATGATCAGTTTTTCTCTTTGTAGTTGCACTGACCGGTACAGCACAGAGAAACGACCTAGATTTAAGGGCGAGTACCGAATTTACCTTCGGAAGTAGATTAGTCACCTACCAAAAATCCAAGCGCTGCCGTTAGACCTACTTCTTTAGGTCAGGGCCGGGTTAGTGCTCAGGGGCCCGGGGTGCAGGTCAACAGGGCCCACAAAAATTAAAAGTTAAGGGCCCTATGACACCCAAGTTCCACTCTCAGGACCTCTCTAGATCCGCCTTTTGGACTGCTAAGATCCCTAGAGGATCAAGAATAAATAAAAGAGTAGGTATGAGGACGGAAATCCATTGAAAATTTCATGATGGGCCTTATGATGGGAAAGGATACGAACTTGTGTCGCTCAACCATTGTGCGTCGCATCGCATGAGAAGCTACGTCTGAGAGGTACATCCAGATGAGCCGTGATCCCAGGTCTAAGGCACCCGATTTCAGGTCAAGGTTTCTCGTTCGCTTACCCGTAAATGCACTGCGGGCTGCAGCCGTTCAGCAGCGTCTCGCTTGCCTGCTGCATGCTGCAGCGGCTTCAGCCACCGCCACTGCACCGGACCGTTGCCGCAAATTGCACTTGCACTTGTTCGGTTGTGTAACTGCGTGTGACATTGTTTTGCGCTTGAAGTTGAATGTCTAGGGCTAACGCACGTAACAGATTACGTCGTTAACGCTCCCAGCATTTAAGGCGGGTTGCAGAGGTGATTGCTCTTTTCAAGGGTATCTTATTCTCCTATGCCTACCTACTTAGATGCCTAATACAACTTGTTAGACAAATATGAGACTAATACTATGAAGAACTCGCCGTTATATTCGAGGACCATGATAAAGGGGTATTTATGTATCACGCCCCCATGCACTACTGAAGGCGGGTGAAAAGGGACTTGAGACTAAATTTTGTTGCTTAGGATTGACGTTTGGAAACAAACATTGAAGGGGGGAGGCAACAATGAAAACTTATGAGACTTAGTTTATGACTGATAACATGTGAGGGATTTGAATAATTTTTGAAAAATCGAGTCGAGGTCATGTTTATCATATAACAATAAAAAACCAAGACGTTTCGACTCAAAACTGGTCATTTTCTGTTGGAAAATACACTAAATAAAAATTTATAAATATCGAAGAAAAAACCTGAGACCTCAGGTTGAGGTCTCATGGTTTTTCTTCGATTCTTTAATTTTTAGATCATTTTCCGACTGAAAATGGCTCAGTTTTGAGTCAGAACGTCTTGGGTTTTTTTTTATTGTTGTATTTTAGCCTTAGAGGTCTTAGGGTTTTTTCTTTTTCCTCTTCGATATTTTTGAATTTTTAGTTTATTTTACGACTGAAAATGGCTCACTTTTGAGTCCAACCGTCTCGAGTTTTTTACTGTCGTATTTCAGCCTTATTTTCCGTTTTCCCCCTTTGTTTCTTCCCTGTTAACATTGTCTCGGGCAGCTTCGTAAAAACATGTTACGGAAACTAGACGAGGAGGAACGGGGCGGATTTACATGTTCCGCGAATCAGGTGCGGTTCAAAAAGGTCAACGTCTAAAACAAGGGCGAATCGATGTGTTGAGTTGCTCTCTCGCTTATCGATTTGCCTTAAATACAACCGTGCCGTGCCTTGCACCGTCAACCTTTCGGAACCCCAATAAAAACTGTCGTGCGGAACGACCAACAAGGGTCGGCCGCGATGAGCCTGCCGGCTCTCACAATCACACGGTGCCACCACGGGCTCAACACCGCCGCTTTTCTTCTCCGGGGCTCGGCAGATGGGTTAGTTTTCAAATTTTATACTTTCCTTCGACTTCATTTTCATTTTCGAGCTAAGGGTAAATTTTCAGGGTGTCTACAAGCCCGGATATAATACTGATTTTTTAAGGGCGGTCCGGAATTCCTGAAAAAGTGCGGAATTTCGGGAGAAGGTCCGGAATTTGTATCATTTTTGTCGTGATTTAAGCGAGGAATTCAAATTTTTGAAGTTTTTCGGATTTCGTCAATTGGAGGTACTGAAAAAGCACTGAAATTTTCTGTCGAGGAGGCACTGCATTCCTTGGGAATGTACTGAAAAAGTACCCTTAAAGCACTGATTTTTAGCCAACGTGTTTTAGTAGACACCCTGATTTTAATCCTATGGCGTGTACAGGCTTAAATTTTGGGGAAGGCGCGATTGACGGTTACGCTCACTGTTATTTCGCCTTCAATCCTCGAGGTAGGCCAGGGAGCATCCTTCGAGTGAAAGTAGTTTTGTGATCGAGGATATGTGTTTGTGGTGACTAAACGAATCATATCGCGCAGCAAACTGTTTCAAATTTTAACCTGCCGATTTTGATGCTAGCTTTGCTTTCGTACTCAAGTATCTCTAATCGATAAATGAATGATAATTATAAAAGTAACAATTCCCTCCCATTTTTTTTCTTTTTTTTTGTGTGTAGAAGCGGCAGTACTTTCTTTCCGTAAGTGCAAAAAACTCGACAGGTGAATTCAACCTTCACTGCTTGTAGATGTGGTCAAATAAAGAGTTCGCTTTTAAAAATAGGTGATTAATTCACAGACATGGTGATTAAAATAACCAGAATTACCCCAACTGCATTTGATGCTATTTAATTTTCTACCGTAGGTAAGTTTTTTGTAGTTTGAATTTATTTTTAGGAAGTTCCAATCACAATCTATCGTGGTTAAATGTAACTTGACAAAAGAATTGCCCCCCCCCTCCCAACTTTCAAACTTCAGCTCCAAGTTATTTGTTTTACCTTTTTTTTTTTTTTTTTTTTTTTTTAGCCGTAAGACCTCGTAAAATGTGTACACTTTAAACTTGTATTTCTTGAAATTACCAACATTTTAAGAACCTCTTCAATTTTCCGGAGAGATGAATGAATGAATTAACCGAAAATGTCACTCAAACAATTATTTTATTGCTTTAGAAAAAAACACTGTACTTTTGCTGTCATTGCCTGAAATCTCTGAACCTACATTCAAATCAGCCTCCGGCTAAAGTTCGCAAAACGGCACATTTACCCATTGCGAAGTGCATTCCAATTACGAAGGACGATAACGTGTCACAGAACCTGTTAGTGAAGTTTCGGATTCAAGCGCAGATGCTCTGGCGCCTACTTCCGTTTTTCCACGTGACGGTGAAATGAACTCGATTGAAGCACGAATCAACTTCCTAGTCATGCCCTTTGCATTTTCAGAGACGGAAATATGATTTCATCGTACATTGTAAAACATTTTTTGCTCCGTCACTATGGTCCGTCTAAACGAGCCAATTTTGATGTCTTAGAAGTAAAACAAGATTAGATAAGACAGTATGAGTTGCCGTCATAAGATGAAAACATTTTATCTCTTCGATTGTCAGTAAGGTGCTTTTTTCGTGAATAAAATGGTGAAAGTGTGGTAAAAATCAAATAAAATCAAAGATTCCCTCTATACACATAAATTTAAGTATGTCAGTTCTTCATTCAACAATTATCTTAGGCGCCGGGTCAATCATCGAATTTACTTTATATTTTTTGCTTCAAACTGGCAAGAAAAATCCCTTACGCAGGGAACAAAATTCATAAAGACGTTATAACTGCGAATTTTTCTTAATTTAATTTTTGCGTGTAACTTTACTTTTCAATTATCTCTTTTCTTGACAGTAAACAAATACCAAAATTTAAGCATCTGCATAAGATTTTAGAGATACATGTTTTAAGGTGGGTGTGTTTTATTAAAGTAATCATCATTTTTAATTAAATTCCTTCCAGTTTCCAATTTTTGTCGTTTAAATAAATATAATTAGTTTTTTCCTCCAAGAAAATTACACTCTAATAGCTTTCAAAAGGAATTCTAAGTGGTTTTCCTCATTAGCTACTTCGACCGAAGACTGTATCAGGGTTGAGAAAGCCATTCGTCAGCTGTAGTACCCCATTATACTTATTACTTAGAGGGTGGTAAATGAGAGGGCCTTTTTACATCCCGTGTCCGCTTACTAGTGGACCGCCATTTTCCATTCATTTTAGTTTATATGTATGTAACACGGACATCCATACTGCCGTGCTAAGGAAAAACGCCGTATGAACCTTCAGGCGTTGCCAAATTTCTTCTGATAAAATACGAATTTCTTGGGAAAATTGTAAATATTTTTCTTCCAAATTTTCAGACTATTTTGTTCGCAATTTAATCTAAAATATTTAAATATCTGAAAATTTCATGGCAAAATATGCAATAATTTCGTAAAAAATACATGTTTTATCCGGAGAAATTTGGTAACTCTCGAATGTTCATACGGCGTTTTTCCTTAGCACGGCGGTATAAAGCACGAATAGTTGCATCCAGGCCATGAAGAAAGAGAGCGAGAGAGAGAGAGGTGTAAAGAAAATCAGGGTGCACTCCTTTAGAGCGTATATGCAAAACTATAGTATCCACAGAACACGAGGTGTATACAATCGTTGCTATAAAGAAAAAAGCTTTAGAAAAAGAGGTGTTGCTACTCAGAAAGTTAGGCCACCTTTATTCATTGTATTTACAACACGGGCATGTGCACAAATAATCGCATCTAGGCGTTGTCATCGTCATCTAGAAAGAGAGCGATACAGAGGCGTTCCACACGCCTACACGCGTTCCTACACGCGCATCCATGGAGCTCGAATAGTTGCATCCCAGGCGTTGTCTTTGCGGCATCTCGTCACGTTCGTGTTTCGCTCGTGTAATGCTGTATCCTTTGAACACAAATAGTATGCGATAGAGTCTTCTTCCTTTTTATCCTTTAATGCAGGAAATTTGTGTCACTAAAAGAATCGTGCTTTAATAATTAAAACTTTTATGGCAGGAAAACATAGTCTAATCCATCTACTGCATGCGATAATTAATGAAGATATCGTCTTGCGCAAAACGCGGCGAATGGTGTTATTTGTCACAATAGGGCAAATCATGGTTTTGATATTATCCGAGATGTACGTGTAATAGTCAGTGTAAATGTGTGTACCATTGACAAATTATTTTAAATTAAAAGTGGAAGAAACCACGGCACTTACAATATAACAGCGAATGACTTTCGAAGTCCACGTTTATTGAGGGGCAAAATCATTCTTAATATTGAGCCTAGATCTGCGTTTGGACAGATCTCATTATTTTACGCTGCATTGCAAATTTCGACCACTAAAACACGATGCTGTAATCAGCGGAATTACTCCGTTTCCCTGTTCTCATTCCGGAACTCCTCCGTGGGGTCATTATTCAATATTTGCTTAGGACAACGCAAACCTTGAGATGCCCCTGAAATGCTCTGAAAACGATGCGGTATATTTCTTGGTCCTTATCAGGAGCACAGTTCCATTAAATCCTCAGGGGGCGAAATATCATGCACGACTTAAGTCGGAAAATACGTATCTCAAACTGTGACATTGCTAACTGCTCACGTTTCACTCTTTTCAAGAATAATGGCCAACGGTCTTGCTCGGGATTTTCTGTAAGAGTGGAATTTTCTTTTTGACTGTCTGAATGACCTCTCATCCTGCACTCAAAAAAGTAATACCTATTCGTAAACCTACTCGTTGGTTGTACCAAAAAAATAATAGACTCTATCGTCTTTCTCGGTTAGTGCGAAAACACTGATCAAATATTTGTGTTCTTGTGTTACTTTTGCATAATATAGGAAGTGAAACACAAAGCAACGTTTTTGTGTTGATTTTAGTGCAGTTTACGGTGATTTTAGCGCAGAAAACAATGAAGAGGCAGGGATAATGCATTCTGCCGATTGCGACGTTGGTCAATATTCGTTTTTTTTTTTTTAAAATCAAATTTCTTCAAGGAAACTAGCTGACAGTTTCTTTTGAAATGGTCAACCGAGGGCTACAGTTATTTCGTGTTCTACTTCCCGTAATAACCAAACTTTTGTGTACAAATTTCTCTCTGTGAAGAAGGTAACAAAATAATTGAATCCACACACTGGAAAAAAAAATACATTGGATCTAGAGTCCAGACTCTTGAAAACATTGGCGAGAAAAAGGACTCTTGATTCAATCAGATTTAAGCTTAAATCAAAAGGAAATCCGCTCAAATTAAGAGGCTCGGTTCTTGATGTAAGCTTAAATCTGATTGAATCAAGAGTCCTTTTTCTTGCCAATGTTTTTAAGAGTCTGGACTCTAGATCCAATGTTTTTTTTTTCTTTTTTTTTTCCCCCCAGTGCAGGCATGATCCTTTTCTCTGTGTTTCGTAGTATTTACTTCTCATATTTGGACCACATTTTGCTATAAGGAACCACTATTTCTGGCTCATTTTAGAAACAACATTTAAGTCATCGATTTCCCTCGGTAGAAAGGTAATTTTATGGAAGACCCAGAGATAGTGGTTCCTTATTGCAAAATGTAATCCATTTATTGTTTTAGATAGTTCCGTGTTTCCTTTTCTCCGTGTTTCGTAGTATTTACTTCTCATATTTATTGTTTCAGATGGTTCCGATGAACTCCAAGTATCGCGTAAACATACCCCTGGGCTTGGAGTCGCTGCTGGAGGGTCTCGCTGGAGCCGTTTTGAGGGAGCAACCGGTCGATATCTACCGATTCGCAGCTGAGTACTTCGAAAAACTCCTCGCATCTAGAGATGAAGGTAGGTGCCCTGCTCAATGTTATAGACACATGATGAATGGATCTTCCTTCATTTTTCACCCTCTAAGGATCTCATTTATGAGCCAATATTGCGGGATTGCTTATTAAAGGTGTTTCTTCCTCAAAATCAGTTCCATGACGCGTTTAGGTTTTGATTAAAGGGAGCATAGGTAGATCCCAGGTTCAATCCCCGATGCAGGCAAAAAAATTCTGACCTACGATATCGCTAACATGGACTCCCGAGAATTCAATTAATTTTATTTTTCACGATTTCGAAAATTATTTCCTTAAATAATCCTTTGGGGTGCCTCTTTTTCCCCAACCACCGTGCTTAACATTTTCCGTGCGGCTGATTTCCATGAAGTTGGTTTCCATGCCACATGCGCATGGAAACTTTTTCGTCCCAATTTTCCATGCAAATTTCGCATGGAACATTTTTACCAGGGCGGGATGTATAAACCACTGTCTTTGACGATACTCTGTCAGCGGGCTGATCGTCGAAATTGGTAGACAAAGCCATAGACAAAAATGACAAAAAAAATATGAAGGGATCCTATTGGTTGAAGCATGGTGGTTGCTACGGACAAAGGAGGTAAGTACCCTTTAGTTAGTCCATAATTTTCTCCCTTAGTCTATATGAACCACCCATTTCGACCAAAAGGATCGCTCCATACTCCTAATGTCTTCCTTGTCCGTCGCCTTGTCTATCAATTTCAACATTCAGACTGCAGAATTCTTTTAGATAATTTTTTAAATTAAAGCCCACTTTCGTGTATTTTAAGAAAATTTCAGTCGATGATCTTTTATCCTCTCTTTTTACAATATGTTGACCGTTTTGCTGGCAAAAAGGCTTACGTAGGTAATACTTTTTGACTGAGTAAGCGATTGAAGCCGTGCAAAGGTCCATTATTTTTTTTCTGTAGGAAAAAATTCTTTAAAAACTGAGCATCAAATTTTCATCTCAATTTTAATAAAAATTTGAAAGATAGTAAAGTAGGTCAGATATTTCACAATCGATATTTAATTCAACTTTGCCGTATTATATTAGTCTATTACTATGCAAATAATCCGTCGTATTTCAGCATCCGCGAGACCAGAAACAAAGCGCCTTCAAACCAGCAAACCGCATAATATGCTGCACGCGTGTGAAATATTGAGGTTCTACCGTCAAACTTGACTCCGCTCTCAAAGGAAGAAAGAACTCGACTGTTAAATATCACTCAGTCAAGTTCATCGAGGCGTTCAATTAAATTGAGTCACTTTCATTTTTCAGGATAAATGAGACCAAATTGTTGTTAAATTGTTCCGTACGTAAGACTTTATATAATACTACTTCTCGACCTTCTTGTCAGATGTTTACAAGTTCTGTCGGCAATGCTAACGTAACAAAAGTTTCTAATTTTCCCTAAAATTAGCTGTGAAAGAATCAAAGTTGAATCCTGCATAAGCGGAATACGTGCATGTTCTACGTATGCAACTTTAAATTTAATTTGAAGCTGGAATCAAAAGGAAAAATGAAAAACCAATATTTGAAAAGCAAGAGTAAAATCCTCAAATTATATCTGGATGTACCTCAGTGCATTATTCACCTGGGTCGAGGCTTGAGATAAGTTTTTAAACAAGCCGAATACCTTACAAAATTAAGTTTTAATTAATTAGTGCGGACACCGCTCTGCAATATTCACCATCAATACACTCAATGATTCGTGAGCTGATCTTCTCCCGAGATGATGAAATAATCGTGCAGGCTCAGCTCAATTATTGAGCTGCACTTAACATGCCTTCCCTTTTGTGGTAGTAATTTTAACATAGTTGTTCCTCATGCGGTAGAGGAATATGTGAGGTATTTTAAATTGTATGCTGCACGCGCGAGTGGATTCTTAACAATCACTCTAGAAATTTTATGGATAGCTTACTCATCATTAGGTCCGACCATTAGGTCAAAGTTTCAAATCATAATTTGTATTATTCATGATACGCGGGTAAAAAATTTCAGACTTTGGGAGTTAAGCATGACTAAGAGTGTCTGCCACCCTTTTATTCCGAGACTTTGGTAACTCATTTTCCTCGACCGGGGGAGGTTACCGCCACTTTTGATAACGCTTTCCAGACTGACAACAGCGCCGCGCCGGCCACAACAGGGGTTTTCTCTTATACCCAGTTTTCGTCCTGAAACTTTGTAATGCTGTCAAAAGGGCCGAATTTTGGGCGTTCTTTGCGCCAAATGATGCAGAACTAATACGTCCGAGCTTTGGTTTCCCCCACCGTGCGCCACACTTTGCCTGGCTTCGTCACAGACAGATAACCTAAGTCGGAACCACGTATCCCTGTTTCCTACGTTGCAGACTTCCTCGATAATTTATTTTTTCCTTGGAAAACTATCCGAGGTAATTACTTGAAAACTGCTTGAATTTTTTTTCTGTTAACTGAATACTCTGTATAAATTTCAAGCTATAAAGTTGACTTTCTCTTCTTTGAACACATAAAAAAGGGGCGAAATTTTTGGAACATCGCGGTAGAGAGATACGTGCAGCACTGAAAGAAAAGCTCCGGCTGTGAAAGCCTTGCTTACGGGCTGTATACCGAGCATTCGTTCCGGGCTAAGAGACCAAAAGTTTTGAGTGTGGTGCACTAGGTGCACCATCAAGTGAACATGCCGGAGGGGGAGGGGTGCATGAGACGCGTTTTCCTACACGTGTTGGATACATTTTTTGCGAAAGCCCTGTCAACACTATTGGTAAAATTTCACGGAACCTAGCACGAAAATTAAGTTTCGTATACCTATCTCTGTGTGGACAAGGTCCCCCATTCATAAGAATGAACCAAAAAATTATGAAAGAACAAACGTAAATGTGGTTTAATAATTTTAACTTCCGCCGCTGCGCCGCGCTGATCGCACTGTGTTTGGCGCAATGCGTGAAGTATTCATGCAGTCTTGTAGGCGTCATGCGTTTCACGCGAACCGCTCCTCACCGCACTGTGTTTGGCGCAATGCGTGAAGTATTTCTGCAGTCTTGTAGACGCTATGCGTTTCACGCCAACCGCTCCTAACCACACTGTGTTTGGCGCAATGGGTGAAGTACTCATGCAGTCTTGTAGGCGCTAATATGTGTTAAATGCCGACCGCCGCGCCGCGCCGTGCCGAGGGCTTGTCCTTTTCATTTCATGTCCTTGTCATTATTCCTCTCCGCGCTGAGCTCCAGACCAAATTGCGTGTTTAGTTCCTCTTTTACCTCGACTACCTAAAGATACTGTCTCTTGTATCACTGAAGAACGACAAAATTAGAAATTCCTATACGCTCAGGAAAGAGAGATTTTGTCCCCTTTTCTCATTGATAATTTTTTTTCTGAATCCGATTTTTTTATACCTAAATTTAAAAAAAAATTGCAAAATTTGCCGCCGCCATGAGCCGCGGCCCATGTGGCCACTCCCTTAACCCGGTCCTGCTAGTGGAGGGTCTCTTACGTAGATATAAAGATCCTTTACATTGAAAGCTTCAGGAAACTAAAGGAAAGAAATTTCCCGAATGCGAATTCAAATTCGCAATTCAATCGGAATGAAAGCTCCTAGCCGATATTAAAATGACGGGTGCAGTTAATTTTAAACGTAAAGCGAAAGGTGCCGTGGAGGGGGCGGGGGGGGGCGGTCGTTAAACCTTTCAGCCGGATCGGGAACCGACGTCGAAAAGTAAATAAAACTCGACGTCTACAGGTCACTAGCCGACGGGATATGTGCGGCACGTTCGCGGTTCGCAGCTGCTCCCGTTGAGACGACGTTGGCGACGACGCTCGATTACAATGAAGTCGCCGGAGAAGTTCAAATATTTGCCGTTCGGCGCTAAATCTTTCTCGCTCGCTTAATTACCGGCACCGCGCCTCCGTGTCGCTCCAGATTCGATCCCGTAGCATTCTAATAATCATCTTACACTGTAATGTCTAATGTCATGAACCGGGTTTTTTCATGGCGATGACTCGGAAAAAATAACTATCCGAGTTAACTTTTTAACTAGGGATCCTCGCCGGATTGAGTTTCGTAACTTTTTTGTTATGGCATGGCGCTACTGTTGATAGCTCCGCCGTGCTAAGGAAGAACGCCGTATGAGCCTTCAATCGTTGCCAAATCTCCTTTCATAAAACACAAATTTCCTGGTAAACTCATGAATATTTCCTATCATATTTTCCTTATCATTTTTTCAGGTAATTTTGTTCACTCCCAGCACTCCCTCGCGCTCTACGACTCCTAACCTCCACTGCCAGGTCCTTGATTGGGTTCCTCCTGGGAGAAGACGCAGAGGGCGCCCAATGAAAGGTTGAAGGGAGGGGATTGAAGCGGAAATGTTAAGGTGATCAATGCCCCAAGATTTGTGGTTTGAAAGAGAGCAGTGGAAAGCATTCATAACTTTCCTTCAAAATAAACATTTTATCGAAGAAAATTTGGCAACTCTCGAATGCTTATACGGCGTTTTTCCTTAGCACGGCAGTGCGGTGTCAAGGTTGCCGCAATATTGTCGACGGCGATCTCGGAATACTGAAGATTCCATTTGATAGCGCAAAATGGGTCAGTTACTTGGATTCGTCCAGAGGACCACTATGGCATGCTCTCTCCTCCATCTGGCCCCATACAAAGAGGGAAAAAAGACAGCACGTCAAACACAGTGCGTTCAGCAGCGGTCGGCGTGAAACGTACAGCGCCTACAAGACTGGTGGAATACTTCACGCATTGCGCCGAACACAGTGCAGTCTGCGCGGCGTGGCGGCGGAAGTTAAAATCATTAAACCACATTTCTGTTTGTTCTTTCAAAATTATTTCGTTCATCTCTGATAAACGGAAGGCCTCGTCCACACAGGGATAGGTTTGCGGAACTTAACTTTCGCGCAAAGTTCCGTGAACTTTTGCTAATAGTGTTGACAGGGCTTTCCCAAAAAATGTGTCCAACACGAGGAAACGCGTCTTATGCACCCCTCCCCTTCCAGTACGTTTACTTGATGGTTTTTATTGATGTTTTAAAACGAATGAGAAGGGGTGGCAAAATACAGGCGGCCCATGCGCGGCAAGTAGGTAAATCCGGCTCTGGGAAAGACGTTTACAGTTGGTAATTATTCATGACGAAATTGACCCAAACTGCATATCAGATGCTCCAGCAATTTAATAATTGTCCGGGGGGACCCTCAGACCTCCTTATGCCCCCCCCCCCCGCCCAAGGTGTCTGAATCTGCCTGTGCGCCTGTTGAAGGTTTTCTAAAAAAAAAACTCATGAAAATCGCAAGATTGTAAGTATATATTTAGGTTAGTTTAGTTAGTAGTAAGGTTAGGTGTAAGTTTTTTAGTTTCTCGATGTTCCAACAATCTAAAACCATCTCTAATGTTTGGAGAAATATTATTGTTTTAGCCTCAGCGGCTCCTAAAAAAGCATTCAAAGTTTCAGTTTGACACAAAGTAGGCAAAACTGGGCCTTGGCTCCCAGCAGATTAATCCCAGCCTGAAATTGAACCTTATCCCCATTTCAAACAAGTTGGTTCTCTCATGAGCAGAGGGAGCTGTGAAAATCCTCTGGAGGCAACTTGTTTTCAAACAACTCTAAACTCCTGAAAAGTTTCTGTCGAAACAGGAGGCGCAACTTATTTTTTCTTATTCATCCCTCCCTCCCTCACTCAGATGTTTCATATTATGCTTCGCATTCCAAATAGCCCTTGCTGCCGAATTACGCAGGTGCGTAAACATATTAAAATAAATCTCTCAGCAAACAGCAAAAATAAATCGATGAAATTCGATGCATCTGTTTTCATGCTCCTCCCAGGACGAGTTAGGGTCAAGAATATGGAGAGATCCTGAAAATCATAAAATAATGATACCGCGGCCTACTGCAAGGCGAATAATGGTGCCCGATGGCAGAAAAATACAGTGGCAATTAAAGATACCCTTTGAAAAAATAAGGTAGGAGCGAAGATTTTGAAACACCGCAAAGGAGATAGGTACGTCGTTTTGCCATCGATATCTTAATTGAAATGTTTCAATTTTTATACCTTGTCAGGTGCCTCATAAGCAACAATCTCGGTGCAACACATTCTTGTCAGCTGCTTCAGTCTATACATTAGAGGACGCAAAATCTACAACTTAATCCCGAAACACTTTCCGAGTGCTGCACAGATGACCTCCGATGATCACCGTGTCACTACCAAAATTCTAAAAGTTTCCCCCTCAATTAGGTAAAATTTAAATTTTTTTCTTTAAATACAAAATTCTTTTGCCTAAATTATTTCTATACAAATATAAATTGCCTCTGCATCTGAAAAACTAAATAAAAAATAAAAATATAATTAGCTGCTCAACTACGATGCAGTGTCGGTTCGACGTTAAGCAGGACGGAACCAATACAAGCCAAATCAGCTATTGCAATATTTAACAAGGCAATCATTTTTTACGTGAAACGGTTGTGCGGCTTTTTGTTTAAATTCCAGTGAATTTTTTTGCACAGTGTGAAGCGAATTCCTCAAAATTTTCAAAGGAATCCGCACAAACGCCGCTCTCTTGTGAAAAATTAAATTGCCCAGTTGAAGGCCATAGCTGATGTGGCTTGGTGCCTTTCTGCTAAACACGGTCAATTATTTCGTTTTAAGATCGACTTTCTGTCGATTGTTTTCATTTCAAGATTGATTATCATCGAGATAGAACTTTTGCAAAAGCTGATTACGGTGGCGGAAAGTTTGGCGCGCTTAGGTACTTACCGTGGAAAAAAGTGAGGCATGGCACGCCTTGCCGCGATAGAGCCCGAGTTTGAACGTGAGGGAATGTGTTAAGACGAGCAGGGATTAATCTTTCTCCAAGTGTCACCGCGTTCAATCACTTCCTGCACCGAGGTTGTCAAATTAATCGTAGAAACCACTTATTGAGACAGCTAGTATGGACACCTGACTTCAAAGACGGATATATAGTGACCACGTGGGTCATTCTTGCAATTTTCGATGCATCCGGTAGATCCAAATTTACAAAATAGCAAGTAACCTCTACTCAAAATTTTGTGTTGGGTATTTCTCGCAAGTAAAGATTACATTTTCACCGATTGCAAAGATTATAAACTGGAATGGACCGGGGGGAATTAGGGGCATGGCAAGGAACAAATAGAACGAGAGAGGGAACGGAGACAGGAATTTGGGAATGAGTTGATCAAAGATAACGAAAAAAGTTCAATTTGTGTGATCTTCATTCCCGTTTGTGACATCCATATGCCGCATTTTCTTAATTCTCCCTTTAACGGGACTCTAATGAGGCCCAGAACTTACATGTATTTGTTTCTCTCTTAAAGTGCAAGGCCAGATTAAGGGTGGCGCATGAGGGGCGGCTGAACCAGGCGCCATTACAAAATGGGCACTAGAATAAGAGGAGAAAAACAAAACGGGGAGAAAGAGGAGAGAAAAAAGTGAGGAAGAGTAATAATGATAAGTATCACATCTAACGGGGAGCGATAAAAGCAAACTATTCGAAAAAAGTCGCCTCGCACCTGCTGCACGCTTTGACAGAACCAATGAACGATGTGTGATTCTGTTGGTTGATATCGTCGACTAGATTCTCGCCTTCAATTTCAGCGCATAGGCAACACATCTACCTAAGAGTGCAAACAAATTTAAAAACTTACAGTTATCTCTCTAGACTTTGCCCAGAGCCAGTGCACAATACTGCCGATGATATGCCGGAATCACACGCTGAATGTGGAAGACAACGGCCCGATGTCTGAAGCAACGTTTCTTAGCGACCGTCGAAAAATGTCCAATTTTTATGAATTATTCGAATAGATCTATTCTTTATTAAATCCGCACTGTGTTCGATGCAATGCGTGGAGTATTCATGCAGTCTTGTAGGTGCTAATAGGTGTTACATGCCGACCGCCGCGCCGAGGGCTTTTCCTTTTCATCTCAAGTCCTCGTCATCATTTCTTTCTAAACCGCGCTGTTCCAGGCCAAATTGTATGTTTGGTTCCTCTCTTAACTCGACTAGTTAAAGGTGCTGTCTCTTGTATCACTGAAAAACGACAAAATTAAAAGTTACTATCCTCTCAGGAAATGGGAGATTTTGTCGCCTTTTCTCGTTTGTAATTTTTTTTTCTAAATCCGATCTTTTTTATACCTGCATTTAAACAAATTGTAAAATTTGCCGCCCCCTAGATTTGCCGCCATGGGCCGCGGCCCATGTGGCCACCCCTTAAATCCGGCCCTGGTCTTTCCTTTTCCTTTTCTCCGTTCCTTCTTCTTGTCTCCTTTCTCTTTTTCGATCGCACGNGGGGGGGGGGGGGGAAGTCGCCCCTTGGATCCGCCAATGAACAGGTGATCCAAAAAGTCGGTCACATTAGTTTCCGATTTCAAGAGCCCGCACTAGAAAGTGGTCATCGCCAGTGCGGTGCGGACTCCCAAGTCTGAAAATTCGAGGCAACCTGCCGCGCCGGGCAGCGCACACGGCGCGGAGTTGCTAGGCCATATAAAGACAAAACGGAGCAGGAATCACAAAGTAGCGACACGTCGCGCGCCGCGTCGTTTGCAAGACCAAAAGCGGAAAGGGGACAGCGGACCCCCGTTCTCTCCATCGGACCCCCGTTCTCGCCGACAGACCCCCTTCGTGGTCGAGCGGCCTTATCCGTCGCCCCATTCCGACCAATTGCGACTACTCGACTCCTGTCCTAAGCGAAAACCGCGAGTGCACGTATGTATTTACACCGGAGTTGGGTGGTTTTAGCTTTTCCCGTGTCCAGCCCACCTTCCTTCCACCTCGCAGCAGACAATCGTGCCGCCATTGTCCGCCGCGGACCGACATTAAGTTGTCTCTCGCTAATAAACGAGGAAAAATGTAAGTTTGCGATCCGAGGGACTTTTTCTAAGCGTGTCGGTCGGTCGCTCACCTGCGTGCAATCACCACGCACTGGAAAAAAAAACACATTGGATCTAGAGCCCAGACTCTTAAATCATCAACAAGAAAAAATACTCTTGATTCAATCGGATTTTTGCTTAAATCAAGAACCAAGCGTCTTAATTTAAGCGGATTTCGTTTTGATTCAAGCAAAAATCCAATTGAATCAAGAGTACGTTTTCTTGTCAATGTTTTCAAGAGTCTGTACTCTAGATCCACTGTGTTTTTTTTCCAGTGCGCTTTGGAAGAGAGGTATCTGTGAATGTATCAGTCGCTCTGCTTGGCTATGCTCTCCCGATTATCAAGTATTTCCGGATGCTCCATAAAATGCCATAAATCATAAAAATGAAAAGTTACTCGATCTCATCCGGTAGGATTTGTTAATAACCGGTAATTGGATTTGATTTCGCATAAACCCTTTTGGGCCCTAAGAGCTCCATATTTCGACATGTCCATCCTTACTCCCCCATTTAGGCACTCTATTCTGCCGTAATAGCGAAGAGAGCAGTAAGTGAAAAGTTTTGAGAAAGCGGGCTCAGAAGCGTCTGATCGGAAACTTCTATCGAAAGAAGCCTCCGATCTTTGTCTAATTGCCGCTAATCACCCAAGTGACTCTTAGAAATCGTTCGGATGATTAAAAATCAACCGATTTTATTTCAAGTACATGGAAAGGGTATTATTCATTTTCAAATAGGCTAGTGTTAGGCCAAGATAGCCGTAAGTGTTATCCTCTGCATGCTTTCGTGGTGGCTCTTTAGACACTCAACAAACACATTTTCAGGTTAGAAATTGACAGAAGAGGGCGTCACTTTTCTTGAAAGCACTGTTTAGCTATCTGGAGGAATAATGTCACTTACGGCTGTACTGCGTCATTTTTTGCGCTCTTACGGCTGTCTCATACGTCTCGTTTTTATATAATTAGGATGAATTTTGCTATTCTATCCATTTCAGTGATTTCATCTGAAAGAAATTAGACGAATTTTGAAGGGAACTCGATTTCGAAAATTTGATACGTACTGCTCTCTTCGCTATCACGGCAGTATTTATGGGCAGCACCAGTGCGTGATTTAGCAGTGGTGGCGACGATGGCGCCTTTTGGTGGGAGAATCGGCAACACGCTGTGCTGGGGCGAACTGTGAGTTGTGGAGATTATCGGGCGCTGCATACTTGCGTTGAGGTTGAGGCTGATGAAAAGAGCATCGGCGACGCGACGCGGCGACCGCACACCGATCGCACTCGGTGAGTCATGAATGGAGGGATAAGTACTTAGGTAACTACTTGCGTTGAGCGGTGAATAAAACGCGGCGAGCCACGATATGCATGCCGCCAGACCGGATACTTTATTACGCACTTGCCAACCGGCAGTGGGCAGTATAGTATATCCACAACTAGCTCCACACAGGTGGCGCCTACAAATCTTCGTGCAATGGTCGCATTTGAATACGATGAGTGCAGTTAGTACTCGATAACTATTTTCAGTCTGATCACACACAGTTTTGCACTCTCATAGGGAATTGTTCGGTAGCATGGAATGACTGTAGACTGTACGATTCGTGGTAAAAATAAAATATCATAATGCTGCTCAAATGATCATCAAAGGTACGGAAAGATCTCAAATGAGCATCATTACAATGTCGTAGTCCGGTTTATTCCGTTACCTGGAATGAGCGTGTCATAATAAAAACCCAGGTAAAGAAACTGCAACGGATTGCAATACAAACCGGCAACACTGTAGTGATGAATATTAAAAATCTGTTGTTACCTATATGATGATCATTTAAAAATCATGGATGTGCTGCAAGTGTAGATGATCTGCCAAGTTTAAAAAAAATCCCTACTAAAATTAAATTAATTTTATTTTCTCCGAACAATTTCGGGACACAATCATCCTCGGCCTCTCGGTTTCTTCGAGATTTCAATGCGTGCAGTGTCCCTTATGTTAAGACCCTATGAATACAAACTCTGATACCGTTTTTGGCCTGATTTCTCCAAAAAAGTAATACAGCAAATGGGTCCATATGATTTTTTTTTTTTAAAATTTAAAATATTTTCAAAACGCTCTCGTCCAGATATTGCGAGGATATGTTCAAAATAATTTCAGTTTAAATCTTTTCCTCCGATATGTTTTGATTATCTCAGAATAATGATAAAAATATTTCAACAGAAATATTTATATGGAAACGTAACAGGAATATTTTGAAAATGTTTTTCCTTTTCAAAGTATTTTGTTGCAACTAAGAATATTCTTGGCCAGTAGTCAGCGAACGGAGTGACCGAAGCATTCGG